GTCCTGCGTGGTGCTTCTCCACGTGGACGGCCCGTGTGGCTCGTCTCCACGTGCTGAGAGACACAGACTGCAAAGCACCCACGATTTCTCTGCTGCGTGGCTTGACAGAATTTCTCAGGTCTACACTTCCTGTGAGCTGGGATGCAGCTATTATTCTGAACATGAACCTCTCATCTAATTTTTTTTTTTTTTTTTGAGTTGGAGTCTCACTCTGTCGCCCAGACTGGAGTGCAGTGGCCGCTCCCGGCCACCGCAGCCTCGACCTGCTGGGCTCCGGCGATCCTTCTGCCTCAGTCTTCCGAGTAGCCGGAATTGCAGACGCGCGTTACCACGCCCGGCTCATTTTTGACTTATTGTAGAGATGAGGTCTGGCCAAGTTGCCCAGACGGGTCTCGAACCCGCGGGCTCAGGCAATCCACTCACCTCAGCCTCCCAAGGCATGGGATGACAGGCTGAGCCACTGAGCCCGGCTCCATCTAATTCTTCAAAAGACGAATGAGGGCAGCGCTGAGCAGGAGGAGGGACCAGGGGTCCGCGGCTCCGGGAGGCTAGAGGCGGGGTTCTGTGATCCGAAAGGAGACTCTGGTGTGGCGAGTCCGGGAACCTGATTGTAAGGATTTATAAACAGGGACGGGAGATCAGTGGTTACGGCACTGCCTCCGTTTTCCTGAGTTCCATGCACAAGAGAGTTTTAAAATTCAGAAATGAGTCTTTCAAAGAAATCATCTCAAAAAGCACATCAGGTGCCAGGTGCAGTGGCTCACACCTGCAATCACGGTGCTTTGGGAGGCCGAGGCAGGAGGCGCTTGAGGCCGGGAGTGTGAGACCAGCCTGGGCAACACAGTGAGATCCTACCTCTACAAAAATATTAATAAATACATAAATTAGCTGGGCATGGTTGTGAGCATGTGTGTGACAAGGAGTCCCAGCTACTCAGGAGGCAGAGGCAGGAAGATCACTGAAAAAGAGGTGGATTCGGGTCAGAACACCTTCAGAGAAAGACAAACATATCGTGTGTCACGCGGGCACAGTAAAGGACAGTGCAGTTGGTCTTGTCTCCACACTCCAGAAGGGAGGGACGGCGGGGCGGGCCACGTGGGGAAGCCAGAGGGGCCGGCACTCTGCAAATGATAGAGCGCTCGTCTCTCCCGAGGGTCGTTGTGCACCAAGGAAAATGCGTCCCGAAGGAAGGCATCTCTAACGGCCGCACCGGCTGTGGGTGGTGCACGGCCTCACCCTGGAACTATCTTAGCACAGAGGCTTGAGCCACCGACAGGCGCTCCAAGACACGGGACCTTTCCACCTTGCTCGTGCCGAAAGGTGAGCCTCAATGGCGCCCGGCAGAGAAAGGATGTTCCAGGCTCAAGGAACCAGCCGGCTTCTGGTGTGGCAGCGCGGGTATGGGAAACACATGGCCGCCCCAGAAGGGCCTCAGAGGCCAAGCTGCTCCAGCTGGACGGTCTCACCTCCATGAGCCTCCAGGTCTGACGCCGTGCTGTGGCTCAGAGCATAACTGGGCCAGCTACGCTTCCCCCGAGGACACGTCTGGGGCAAGCTGAGGCAGTGTGCTCACAGCTTGCGGTCTTGGTCCGCACACCAGAGAGCTCTACACGGCAAGGATGTTTTTACAGGTAAGAAGTCATCTTGACATGAAGTTCAGTAGGTCAGGACCCTCCGGGACAGCTTCTGAATGCAATTTCAACCATTTTCAGTATCAAATAGGGACATCTATCTTTTTAAAGATAAAGACATTGCCAGGTCTGATGATAATTTTATTTTTTAAGACAGGGTCTTACTCTGTTGGCCAAGCTGGAAAGTAGTGGTGGGATCATAGCTCACTGCTGCCTCAAACTCCTTGGCTCAAACGATCCTCCAGTCTCAGCCTCCCGAGTAGCTGGGCCTACAGGTGTGCGCCACCATGCTCAGATAATTTTTACATGTGTTTGTAGAGACAGGATCTTGCTCTGCTGCCTAGGCTGGTTTTGAACTTCTGGCCTCCCGGAGTGTTGGGATGACAGGCGTGAGCCACCATGCCTGGCGGGTGATAAATAATGACCACCTCTTCTACTGTAGTGCTGAGATGCAGAGAGGCTCTGGGGTTTTCTAGGGACACGTTTCCCCACGTGGCCAAGTCTTCAGGAGCTGCTTCCCGCTGTGCAGTCTTCCATTCAACACCAGGGTCTGCCTTCTTCCCCATCTGTTAAAGATGGCAAAGTCCCACTCCACAGAATTGCACAGCACCTGGACTTGAAGACTGAATCATGCCAGTTCACTTTTATAGTATGGCCTCGTGGTGAGAAAGGGCATGTGGTTTTGCAGTTGACAGCAAGGACTCTGGTGTCACAGGCCCGAGCGGGAGTCTCCCCGTGGCGCACTCCCTTAAGGGCGGGGCTGAGGAGGTTCTGTCAGCTGAGATGTGGCCGAGCGTCCAGGACATCCTGAATACTTACTTCCTTGCCTCCTGATTCCTAAACCCGCTAGGACAGACTTCTCTGTTACCCTCTCCTCTTGAATACGAAGGAAAGACAGGCTATGTCTGCAACGGCCCTCAGCGGTGGATTCCTCGAGAACAGAGGAGGACTGTGCTACTTATCTGCCGCCTGACAACGCGTTAAGGCCACAGCATTTTGAAGGATTTAAGATCAATAAAGATCATCTCAAACAACTCTCTCGATAACCAATAGCCTTGCCTCGGTCAAGGATGTGCCAGCATTGCATTTAACATGGCTACAAATAGTGTATCGAGCGATCACTGGTGTGGAAAGTTTAGTCATGCCGGGGTGTCGGGGCATCCATATGCTGGAGGAGCGCTACCCCGCAGTTTTTTGCAAAACTATTCAGCTTTCTGAGTGCTGATCTGCTCCTAAATCTTGTTTTACAAGTATTTAAAGCAACGTATTAGAACTGTATTGCCTGCAGTGATGACAGATTCCAGGTACAATCCCCATCTCTGGAGTCTAGACTTAACTGGCCCCACTAAGAGTTCTGCTTCTCTGGAGTTTCTCTAGCTCTTGCGTTCTGAGGGCTGGCTGCATTTGCTTGTCATGAAGTACCTGTAATTCACAGAGGCGGGGAAAGAAGCATCAGGGCCTCTTCTGATCACAGGTTGGCATAAAACCTACAAATGGCTCACGGGGAAGCAAATGTGAATTGGTGACAGGACTCCTCTCCTGAGTCTAACTGCTGCCGTCTTATGCTCCTAAAAAACACACTTAAAAAATGAGCTTTGGGTTGGGTTTGGTGGCTCAGCCTGTAATCCTAGCACTTTGGGAGGCTGAGGCGAGAGCCTGGATTTCAGAGCAGCCCAGGCAACTTGGTGAGACCTCGTCTCTACAATACATCAAAAATTAGCTGGGCTGGTAGCACGCACCTGTAGTTCCGCCTCCTCGGAAGGCTGAGGTGGAAGGATCGCTGGAGTCCAGCAGGTCGACGCTGGGGTGGCCCTAAGTGTGTCACTGCACTCCAGCCTGGGCAACGGAGTGAGACTTCGACTCAAAAAAAAAAAAAAAAAAGAAAAAAAATCTGATGTAAAAGTAGGTATGAAATATGGACGTCGTATGTTATCTAAAACATGTGCCCAATGAAGCTAACATTTTAAAAGAAACAAGGCAACTTGAATTTAAGCACAAACATTGCCTGTAAAAGTCAGTATTCGTATCTTGGGTTTGGTTTAAATCAGCCAAAGGTCAAAAAGAGAGCAGGTGAATCAAATTTCATTTTTCAGTGGTTCCATGCTCTCAGGGTTGAATTTTAAAATCTAAAAAATACAAATAAGAACCTCTGTGGTGAGAATGTCTGTAGGTAATACAACATTCTGAGTAATTTTCTAAAAATTAGCGCTATATTACATTAATTACTCCACATTAAAGAAAGAGATGACTCCCAGTTACCTGCTTCTCCCACCTGTCAATGGTGGTCTGTATCAGGGATCAGCAAAGTACAACCCGTGGGCCACATCCCTGCCTGTTTTGGTAAATAAAGTTTTACTGGAACACAGCTATGCCCCTCGTTTATCTGTCATCTGTGGTCCCTTCTGCTGCAAGGCCAGCTGGGTAGTTGCAATGAGACCATCTGGTGTCCTGGTACGCTGGGAGATGCTTTCAGATAATATGAATGGTAACATCATTATTACAAAGAGAAATCCTAGGTACTTTGGTTTAAAAGTAGCATTTTCAATATATATATTTTGTAGGGTTTTTTCCAACCAGTTAAAAACAACAAAAACTGCATCCTTTGAATTAGATCCTTAGAATGTTTACCTATGTAGAGGTGAATGACTCTATCTGGAAACTCCGCGGTTTTAGCAGTAAGGATGCTGGCGGTTTCCTTCATGGCACCGCGGGAAGGGTGGGCTGGACCGGCCCTCAGGGCAGCAGGTGTTTCCAGCACGTCTCGTGACACAAAGAACCCTGAACACCCACGGCCACGTCGGGCCTTCAACGTGCGCCACCACGCGTTTCCACCGCGTGTTCCTCTGCTGCCTCCAGCCATACCCGAAAACAGCCTGAAGGTCAAGCCAGACAGACTGACCCCCATCACTGATATGTCAACTGTGACGGACTCGGCCGAGGTTACCTCTTCAACCAAAACTGTGGAGAAACCCAGAACAAACCAGAGTTCCAAGGCCATCGCTGCATCGATTTTAAGAGGAGACAGCAGAGAAAAACTTGCAAGTGGCCGAGTGCGAGGATCAGCTCGGACCTCCCTTTCAGCAGAAGGCTGCTGGTGGAGTCACCTATTTTAATTGTTGGGGACAGGAGGTGGCGACAGAAAGAATGCCCAGCCAATATGTAAAATGACAGGGATCTACCAAAACAACCATCAAATCACCAGGCTATTGGCAGTCGGAGAAATCCCACACACTAAGCAATTCAACTGTAAAGAAATATTAGAGGTTTGAGATGAAAATGCACTTGAACCTGTAATTGAATTAGACAAGCCTCGCTGCGTGCAGGCTGCGGTGGTCGCCAGGACACAAAGGAAACGCCAGGTTGCCAGAGTGCATGTATCAGCCACAGTGATTTATTGAGTGCTTTAATAATACAAGTGTGCATCAACTGATCCACAGTCAAAAGTGGCAGGTCCCTAAGAAATTTACAAGCACTTTAAGTAAATCAAAATACATATTATTTTGTTCAATCCAACAGTCTTCTGTGTGGGGGAACAGAAGGCTAGTGATAAACAGAGTCTCAGTAATGCACAGTGATTCTGATTGAAGCTTTTGTACAAAAACTTGTTCCCAGTAGCATGCACCCACCAATAAAGACTTCAGTACAAAAAATTAACCCTAAGCACTACATTGAAGTAGAAACGAGATATAATTCTGAATTTGTGTTTTCCCGAAGATCACATAAAAGGAAAAAAAAAACCCCAAATAAAACAACCAACGAGAAACAAAACCACACAGTAATACAAAGCTTTGTGAGAAGCTCTTACTATTACAGACCCAACGTTGTTTGCACTGAAAACAAAGCTCCGCCCACGTTGGCGGGGGAAAATAAATCCCAAATCTCTCAAGTTAACAGAAATTCAAAGGGAGGAAAACAAGAGAAAGAGCGAGGGCCAGAGGAGGGTGGGGCGGACGACATACCATCACAAAACGTCCGGTGTCATAAAAATAGGAACCGAGAATCGAGCCTGGGCGGGCTACCGATGCACTTGGTGAAGGTGCGGGCGTGCAGCGGCAGGCCTATGTGGCGTACCGCTTGGTCCACTGTCGGGCCATCCGGTCGTGCTCGGCTCTGTTGGTCATGTACTGTGTGGCGATGCTGCCCACCAGGGGGTCGGCTGCAAGGGAAGCAGAGTGGGAGTCAGTAGCCACCGGCACCCCGCCCCTTCACGTCGGGGAGGATGCCCAGGGAGCCGGGGCGGCCAGATTCCAACCCGGCAGCCCCCAGCACCGTGGCCCCATGGACCCAGAGGGACATCTGTCTGCGCCGTCCAGGGGCAGGCGTCCTAGTCCACAGGCCCATCCTCTCCCCTGGCCCCCTTCTCACCCTGCTGCTCGTCCGCAAGAAGGTGTTGCCAGGGAAACGCAGGCGGGCTTCGGGGGCTCGGGGCTCTCCATGGGCTCTGGAAAGGGGTCAGGCCAGGGAATGCCTCCCTGGGCCTGCTCCGCAGGGCGGCATGCATGCCCCAACCTCCTGCGCGGGCCGGTCACAGCAGGGGAGAGAGGTCTGCTTCCGCGTGTCCCACCCCCCACTGACAGCTGGTCATGCGGCCGCGCGGCTTTAGCGTCATGTGCGCTCGAGCCTTTACTTTCCTCATGACCCTGCGTGGTTCCGCTTCTGAAGCCCACCATCATGCCTTATTCATGGCGTTGCTTCTTGGCAGCACTTACACGTGTGAGCAGCTGTTCCCCGTTATGAAACACACAAGGAGCAAAACTCGAACAGACATTTCTGACAAGCACCTTGAGATCCCACTAAGTAAGAATTCCACTCCCATCAATCCAGACACGGACAGATTGGTTTTACAAAAACAAGGACACATTTCCCACTAGTTTTATACTGTTTCTCATTTTTCTAAACTTTATAAGAAAAATATAAAGTCTTGTCAGGTGCATACACTAACTAACTCATACACTTTACATGTGGCCCAAGACACTGCCTCTTCCCCCGATGTGGCTCAGGGAAGCCAAAAGGTTGGACACTGAGGGTCTACTTCTTCCTCGAAGTTCAGGAAGAACAGATCTATGCAGTTCGCTATTACAAAGTCATGACAGGTGCTAGGATCAGTGATTCAGTGTCCCCAAACCTGCATGGGTCCCCAGGAGCCACACACAGGAAACAAGCGATGAGGGGACCCTTGCCGGCACCAACAGGGAGCAGGCTTGGAATCAGAGTCCGCTCCCAACTTAGGGTGCTGGGAACTGGCTCCCATCCAGAGTGCTGGCGGGGGCAATGTGAGGGAAGAAAATCAAAGCAATTTAAAGCAACTGGGCTGCTGAAGATCCAGGGTCTCCTCCTTTCCCTCCAGTTTTCTAATGTACTCTTTCCTGATTTTTATTTCTCCAGTTTTTGGTGCTGAGAATGTGAGTTCATCAGAACAGTACCCAAAAGGGAAAATGAAAAAGAGCAGTAAAAGCTAATATTTAATATGGAAAGAAAACAGAGAGAGCGTACAGTGGGCCTGCGGTCCATCCCCCCTTGCGGTCATTCCTCCTGAGTGTGAAAGGTCCAGCAAATGCCACCCTGAACTGACCTGGGAGGTGGGTGCTGATGCCACCCTCTGACGCCTGCTCACCAGGCCCTGGCTTCTGTCTTCGAACTGTGAGAGTCCGTGATTATTCTAGGGAGAAGCCAGTTCCCTACCTCACATCGCAAACAAGTTGCAGCCTCCCCCGAGTGTGGAGATGGTCAGGACTCCTCCCCCGGCCTCCTCCTGGCGACTGTCCGTTTTCCCAATTGCTGGAAAGAACACCACCCTTCAAACCAGCCCAGCCAGGATCCAAGAAGATCAAATCCAGCAAGATGGCCCATAGACACTAAGGATCTAGGGAATGGCCCAGAGACTTTGAACAATCATGGTCGTCAGTGATCACCCTGGAGGTCCAAGGGGCCAGAGTGAACCTGAGCCCCAGCTCTCCACCACTGAAAGGGATTGTCTTGTTCCGACGCCTGGCAGTCTGGAGTGTGAAGCCAAGAGAGAGACCTGGGCACCCTCAGCAGCACAGGGCATTCCACTTCAGACAGGAGCTTAACTGCGTAGGGCTGACGCTGTGAGGTGAAGATCACCCTAATGTACCGGAAGGGAAGGTTTACGGTCCGAACGGCTGGTGAAGTCAGCGACCCCTCGGACCACACGCTCACGCAGAGTGGGTATGCTGGGAATGAGAAAGGCCTGCTGGTTCAGCTCGAAGAGGCGGAGGGAGGCCAAGTCAGGACGAAGGGGCAGGAGCTGTGAGGGCGACTCCCGTGCTAGTGGCGTCTCAGAGGGGAGGAGGGGAGGTGGTCTCGAAGACAGAGTCTGACGGCCCAATTCACACGGACGGCACGCGGGGTTTTTTGCAGGCTTAAATGATATTTAATTTCTTTCAGGGCTCTTTTACCCTTTCAATGTTATTAAAAGCTTTTCCACCTGTAAAAGTATACATGCAAATTATAAAAACAATAAAAACCATCCCAGACAACACATGAGACAGAAAGTTTCAAGTGGAGACCTCTCATCTATAGACTCATTCAGAGAAAACAACAAAACATGGACCAACCCTGCTGCCCATCGAAGGCGGAAGGGAGAAAAACGTGGCACATACACACAACAGAGTACTACACGGCCACGAAGAAGGACAAAACCACGGACTTCACAGCAAACGGGATGGATTCAGAGTCCATCACACTCAGCGATCTGTCACCGAAACAGAGAACTGAGTACCACATGTTCTCACTCGTGAGTGGGTCCTGGACATTGGTCACAATCCTGCGAGGGAGGGACGGGCAGTCACGGGACACTGTGGGGGGTGGGGACGTGTAGCATCACTAAGGGCGCCTGATCCTCAGCCAGGGGAAGTGAGGACCCGAAGGAAGCCCAAATTCACCAGCACACAGACCACTTACGTACCTAATCCTGACTGGTACTCCACACCATTACAGCAAAATAAGTAAACAGAAATTTTGACGCATTTCTTCATATACTTCTAAACACATGATGTGAAAAGAAGGGATGGATTTATAGTCAGCTTTTGTAGTCTTTAAAAAATTCACTGCATGGCACATAACTTTTTACTCCAATGTTTATACATCTGTGTCATCGTTTTTAACATTTACCTGTCCTGATAAGGAGTCTCCTGTTTCTAGATACTTGGAAACCTTCCCTTTCCCACTTCTGCTTTAAAAGTGACGCTGAGAGGAACACTGGGGCCCGCATCGCTGGAAGCTATGCAAATCTTAAATCTGTTTAAACTATGAAACGAAGGAATAAAATATACATATAAAATGAAGAAACTTTAAAAACCATGTGTAAACAGCTCTTAATACTAAAATGACTTGATGAACAAAAGCAAGCTGGGACTGCAAGTAACTGAGTTATGCAACCTGCACGTAGCCAAGGACGGGCACAGGGAATCTGTTTGTTTCAACAGCTTGAGGCGCATGCGTGGTTTTAGTGACACGGACGAACTGCACGTGGAGAAGTCTGGGCCTCAAATGCGCTCGTCACCCACCTAGTGCGCACTGCGCCCGGTGGGCGGCTTTTCATCCCTCCCCCCACCGCGCCTTTCCCCCTCTGAGTCTCCAATGTCCATTACAGCATCCTCTCTGCCTTGGCAGATGCACAGCTTGGCGCCCACTGACAAGTGAGAACATGCGGTATTTGGTTTTCCGTTCCTGCATGACTCCACTTAGGATGATGGCTTCCAACTCTATCCAAGTTGTAGCAGAAAACATTTTGGTTTTTTTTTAAGGCTGAATAGCGCTGCGTAGTGTATGTATGAGGGGGACCTCAAAAAATCCGGGATTTGTAAAGAAAAAATTGTGCACTTATTCAGTCACCGTCAAAGTACTCTCTGCTTCTGACGCAACACCCCTGTCGAGACGCTTTTTCCACTGCTTGAAACAGTTTTTGAACTCGTATGTGTGGATGCCTTTTAGTGCTTCTGCCATTTCGTGTTTTGCCTCTTCCACATCAGCAAACGTTTTCCTTTGGGGACTTTTTTCGTTCGGGGAAACAAACAAAAAAGTCGCTTGGGGTGAGATCAGGTGAATAGAGGAGTCATGTCATTTTTGGTCAAAAACTGCTGAACACTCAACTTGGTGAGGGAAGGTGCACTGTCATGGTGGAAGAACCAGTCACCTGTTGCCACAAAAAAACTCAATGAAGTGGAACGCAGCCTCTCACAAGACTACCTGGCACACGGATGCTGATGGGTTCGGAGAGCGCTTGGTGGGGGAAGCCTGTCCTGCAAGGAGCCCGCCCTCCAAAAAGTTAACTCTGGTTTTTTGGGTCCCCCTTTGATGAACCACATTTTTTTTATCTGTCGACCAGCTGGTGAGCACTTAGGCTGACAGCACACCTTTGCAGTTTGAACCGTGCTGTGATAAACACGCGAGAGCTGGTGTCTTATCCATATGATGACCTCTCCTCCTTTGGGGAGACACCCAGCAGTCGGAGTGCTGGAGGGACCGGGAGACCCACTTTTAGTTCTCTGAGAAATTCCCAGGCCCTTTCCCACGGAGGTTACACCATCTTCATTCCCAGCTTCAGTGAATAAGCATTCCCTTTTCACCATTCGCACCAACATCTATTCTTTTTTGATGCTTTTGTGAAGGCCATGCTGACTGGTGTAAGGCAGCATTCTCATTGTGGTTTTAATTTGCATTTCCCTGATGATGTGCGATTTTCATGTGCTGGCCATTTGCACGTCTTCTTCTGAGAGATGTCTGCTCATGTCATTTGTCCACTTTTCAATAGGATTCCTTTTTTTTATTTATTCATTTGCTTGAGTTCCTTGTAGATTGTGGATATTAGTCCTTTGTCAGATATATAGTTTGTGAATATTTTCTCCCATTATGTAAGTTGTCTATTCATTCTGTTATTTCTTTTGCTGTACAGAAGGTTTTTAGTTCAATTCAGTCCCACTTATTTTTTTTGTGTGTTAATTTGGCTTGCGGATCTTAGACATAAATTCTTCGTTTAGGCCAATGTCCAGAGGAGTTTTTTTATAGGATTTCTTCTACAGTTTTTATAGTTTCAGGTCTTACATTTAAGTCTTTAATCCATCTTGAATTACATTTTGTATATGGTGAGAGACAGGGATTCAGTTTCATTCTTCTGCATGTGGCTATCCAATC